TCCTGCTTTAAGGTCTAGATTTAACAGAACCTAGTTTAATCACTAAATAGGCAGTACTAAAAGTGGAACACACCTGCGTTTTGCCGCAAGATAACACGATTTTCGCGATGAATGGTACAACAAACAGCAATTCCTGCTGTCCTTTATAGTACGCTTCCATAAGCAAAGCTTTTAGGTCCAACTCCTGTATACAGTCTTGAAATAGAGATATTGTGACTTTGCTACCAAAACACCCACGTGTATAAGAATCGGCTTATTCCTAGCTATCGTGATGGATCCTAGCCACATGCCAAGATTCTTAAGAAGTTGGCGATCACTGTAATTGGAAGCAGCTTGGCGTTTATCCGATCGCAGTAGAATCTATAAAAAAGCTTATTTCTCGCTTGGATGTAGCACAGACTGAAAGTGCCCAGAACAACCATCTCACCCTAATATTCCTGAATGTCTCCCTTTTGATATGTACATCCAATAGGGGATGATTAATAGCTTGGACAAATTGATTGTAAAGAGGCAGGAAATTCTGCTCGATTGATACCCGCTTCATCACTATATACTGTGCGAACCATCGAATAAACGGTTCACCATTTTCTTCGATTAGTGCTAATATCTGAAAAGCATCATTTACCCTCTTCTGAAAAAGAGAGGAAAATCTTTTGAAAATAAAAACCTCGTCCTTTTTAGTGTTCATATTGCTTTGGGATAGATTATTGAACAGGAACAAGACTTTGTCGACTACAGCTGTTTCTGGTTGTGCAACTTCTGCTCCTTCCTTCTCTGTGGCAGACACAAGCGTGTCAACGTTGGTGTATGACAAAACAGAATTTCCCTAAGTAGTTAAGATAGAGGGAGATAAACTATTCTAAGAGTAAGAGAACTCAAAGGCCTTGAACATAATGGTAGTGATGAAAATAGACGGAAATTAATGCTAAGTTTGTTTTCTATTCTAACTAATTTTATCTTTCATTCTACTAAAAAATAACTAACAGCCAGGTAGATAAAATGGGTTTCAAAAAAAAAAA